GATATTTCCCCCATTTGCGGGGAACGAGGGAAAATTTTTAAATTTTTAAGGGTAATGTCTTCAACTAGATACAATTTGTGATCTTTTGACGTATTGTTAAAAGAAATCGGTCCAGTGAGAGCTGAGAAAAAGTAGTGACAGACACAAAAAAAAAAAAAATAAAAAAAATAAAAAAATAAACACATCATGGTAAAATTAATACCTTCTCAGCTTCGCATCGAAGCTAAAAAAAATAAACACATCATGGTAAAATTAATACCTTCTCAGCTTCGCATCGAAGCTAAAAAGTTCAGTACCACAGTCGTGAAAGACCCTAGTGTTACTGTCTCATTCGTCACTTAATAAAAAAGAAAATTTAGCTAGTTCAAATTTTAAAGTTATTTTTCTTGACTTCAAAGAAACAAAAAAACTTAAATATGTATAATTTTTTATACTATGTCATTTAGATTAATATAATATTTATGAAAATCAGTGTAATCCCCTTATAATAAAATAAAATACAAACCAAGAATTTTAGCACAATAATAGCATATTTTTAAATACGATAGCTATTTTCACCATGAAGACAAAATAAAGTCCAAATTTTTTTTTTTTTATTATTAAAGTATATTACATAAACTTTAATTTAAGATATATATAAAAGTGTCAGTATTTCCGGAACATTTTCAAAAATTGTTCTAAAAAAAAGTTCTACTTTCTATATGCATTTTTATGTTTTGAACCCCCCCTGTATTAAGGGAAATGATCCGATTTAAAAAAAAAGTAAGTCGAATTAAAGAAATATATAAATGTTATTTCTCATAAAAAAATTGTATTCATCCATACATTTTTCAAAGAGTTATAGCGTTATAAAGTTAAAAATAAAAAAAATAATATTTTTACAAAAATCGTATTTTTTTTTATAAACTTTGATGACTGTTTTCACCATGAAGACAAAATAAAGTCTTACATTTTTTTTTCCATAATAAAGTATATTACATTTGCTTTAATTTAAGTTATATATAAAAGTGTCAGTATATCTGGAACACTTTCAAAAGTTATGTTGAAAAAGTTAATTTTTTGTGAAAAAGTTGTCATTTTGAATCCCCCCTGTGGGCTGATAAAGGGTTAAATTTATTATAAAAATATACCAAATGATAGGACATCAATCATCTATAAAAAAAAAATTATATTGATATGTTCATTTTTGAATAAGTTATGGCTATTTTAGTAAAAAAAGTTAAAAAATTTTCGAAAATTAGTGATTTTTTAATTTGTAATTTTTTTGGAGATTTCACTCATTTACGAGGAACGAGGGAAATTTTTTCAATTTTTGAAGGTAATGTCTTCGACTAGATATGATTGTGATCTTTTGACGTATCGTTGGAAAAAATCTGTTCGGTGAGAGCTGAGAAAAATGGTAACAGACACAAAAAGAAAAATAATAAAAATTAAAAAAAAAAAAACGGTAGCACAGTGAGGTCGAGGCACAGTGTAGACAAGGCATAAATAGGACAAGTATAGATTATATCTGACATTGATTAAAATCACTATCATAAGAAACGCTTCGATGCAAAACTGTAGATAGTGTTTCATTTATTTTTTATAAATAGAGAAATTGGTGGATTATTCCAAGAGCAACATCAACTCTTATTTCTTTGATTATATCCTAATTAGTAGTTCTTTGATTTT